GGTTTGATTATCAGCAAACTATGGATCGGTTAAAAGTGCTGTTTTCAACTTGGTTGTCAGTTTGTCCTCTAGAAGTCAGGCTGCTCTTGGCTTGGCCTCTGGTGGTTGCTTGGCCTGCGAGTTGGGCTTCTGATATCATAGTTTGCATTACTTCCTCCCGATGAATGTCAAATTAGGGTTTTTCTCAACAAGGCATCTACCAATATGTTTTTTCCTCCTGGGATATACAGTATTTCATGTTAAAATTGAATCTCTTGAAGTATTGAGCATAGTGGACTTGTTTAGGAGAAAGCTTCCGAGGTGTCTTCAGAGCTTCAAGGTTCTTATGATCCGTCCGCACCTCGAATGGCTCCTTCACTCCTTCCAGGAAATGCCTTCAAGATAGTAAAGCCCATTGCACAGCAAATGCCTCTTTTCTCAAACTGCCCACCTACGCTTTGTGTCTGACAGCTTTTTGGACACTTAAGCGCAATGCATCAGCTGGTATTGAAGGTTGAAATAGAATCACCATGACAGCCACATCACTGGCATCCGCTTGGACTACAAAAGATTTGGTCGGGTCCAGATGTTGGAGGATAGGCTCCACAGCAAAAAGGCGTTTTAATGTCTCAAAAGATTTCTGAGAGCTCATTGTCCAAGTAAGAGGTTGATTGGGTTTTGGTTTGGTCGGGGAAGGCCCAGTTTTAATAGTAACTCTATTAAAGGGAAGGCGACCTTGGCAAACGAAGGGATAAATTGTGTATAGAAATTTGCAAAACTCAAGAAGCTTTGAAGTTGTTTCTATGTTTTTGGTGGTTGCTAGTCTAGCACTGCCTTCACATTTCCAGGGTCCATTTCAATCCCCTGGTTAGATATTCGGTAGCCCAGGTAGTCTAAAGACTCTTTATGGAATTTGCATTTTGATAGCTTTGTGTATAATTTGGTGGCTAAAAGTTTTTTCAGTACTTGCCTGACTAATTTGACATGTTCTTTGATGGTTTCGCTGAATATAAGAATGTCAGCCAAGTAGACAAGGACCCCCTTGTACAGATGTGAATGTAACACTTCATTAATTAGTTGCATAAATACATCGGGGGGCCCTTGGAGTCCTAAAGGCATGACTCAAAACTGGAAACTACCGAGAGGGCAGTTGAAGGCAGTTTTCCACTCGTCTCCCTCCTTTATGCAGACTCAGTAGTAGGCTTCTCTCAGATATAGCTTGGTAAAAATTTTGCCTTTAGACAGGTGATTTAGTACAGAGGTCGCCAACTTTTTGGACCTCAGGGACCACCAAACTCATAATTTTAAATTCCGCAGACCAGAGACCCTGGGAAAATCCCCAAAAAAGTCTGCAGGAAAATTCCCCAACCCGTTTTCCTACCAATCAATGATTCTTTATTTGGGATTGCAGAATACTGTCTCCAGAGAGAGGGAGGGAGAGAGAGACTGACTCTCTTTTGGCTTCAGAAGAAGCAAAAGAAGAAAGAAGCGAAAAAAAGCAGCCCAGTGGTCAGGCCAGGCGGGTGGGATGAGTGAGGCAAGTTCCCCTCTTCCCCCCTTCCCCCCTCCCCTCACTACCTTGTGTTCACAATGTAAGCAACGCAAGCCTTGTGTTCCTGTGGGCCATGTGGATGGCGCAGCCTTGTGTTCCTGCGCAGCCTTGATTAATTGATTTGGGGGGTGCTTTGGGGGTGACATTTCTCTGTGGACCACCAACATTTTCTCACGGACCACCAGTGGTCCCTGGCCCACTGGTTGGCAACCACTGATATAGTAAGTCTTTCATTAGGGGAAGGGGTATATGTTTTTATGCATACCCCGTTCATGCCTCTAAAGTCCACACATGATCTCAAGTCACTATCTTTCTTTTCTTTAAACAGTACCAGGGCTGCCAACCTAGATTTTGCTGGTTCAATGAAGCCTCTGGCTAAATTGGTATCAATGTATTTCCTAACTCAGTCATCTTGTCTGGTGTCATGGAATACATCTTTGGTTGGGGTAGTTTTGCCCCAGGTTCTAATGGCACAATTAGTGGCTCGATGAGGGGGTAAAATGTTGCATTCCTTTTCACTAAAAGCCTCAGCCAAATCCCTGTATTTTTTTAGGAACCTGGGGCTCACGTGGAGGAGAGTCTGAAATGGTGGCTGCTGCTTCTGGTTGTGGATCCCTGTTGGGTGGCAGTCTCTTTTCAGAAGGGGGCAGTGGCCTGACACCAATTATGATTTTCCAGTATCCATCTTCCCATTTGATGGATTTTTGGAGCCACTACAAATCGTATAAATTCACAATGCCTGCCCATTTCTAGTCTGATCAACTCTATAATTTAGGTGGCTGGGACTCCTCCAATTAACGTTCCATCTACCTGTTCAAACTTGATTGGGCATTTTAGGGCTTTAGTTTTTATCCCTAATGGTTCAATAATAGGGAGCCCAATAAGGCATCTGGAACACCTGGTATCTATTACTGCTTCTATCTCCCCTGCCTCCCTAGTCTCAGGCACCACCAACTACACTTTAACTGTAAACGGGGGAATGGCGGCACTCACCATGGGGTCCTCTTCTTTATCTGCCTTTTTGGGAAGGGTTTTTTTGGCCGGAGGTTCCTCACTCTCTTCTGTAGGGAGGGAACCTCTACAGCTTGTCTGGCGAACTGGCTGGTGTCTGGAGGCTTTCGTGGAGTTCTTCTGCCTCTGGCAGCTGTACTGGGCCTTGATTGTAGAACAGGTGCAAGAGCCAGACATTTGGCTTCCCGATGACCAGTATGGCCACATCAATAGCACTTTATAATCCTTGTAGGTTGGGTAGGAGCAGCTTCAGCAGATTTAGTCAGAGGGCTGGCAAAGCTCTCCTAGGCCCTCAGAGGGAGGTTTCGATGTAGGTGGATTTCACTATCCAGCCATGGCATACCAGTCTTGCAGTTACTCTGGTATTCCTCTGATGCTGCAAGCTTTTCTGACTTCTGGATCAATAGCTTCTCTAAAATAGTGCAGAAGTATTCTGTCAGGCCAATTCATGAAGTTGTTTGCGACCTGTCTAAAATCCCTTATAAAGTCTTTTAAGGGTCGATTACCTTGCTTCATTTCCATTATTTTGTCTTTACTCTCACCTATTCTGTCAGGGTTTTCAAACCGAGCCCTGAGCAGCTCAACAAATGCATCAGCATCATTTAGTTTTGCCGTGTCCTCATAGTGTAGCTGGGCCACCCAAGTGGAAGCATCATAGTTTGTGATCTGTTTGTAGTGGTTTCCAAATTGATCTACATGTGACCATATTTGGCTGAGAAAGTAAGCATGTTTTTCAGGTGTTCCATCAAAAGTTGCTTGGAAGATTGGTGTGTCTAGTTTGGGGGGAGGGATCACCATGGCGATTGCTGACTGAGCTGGAAATTTTGTCCTGGCGTGGGCTGCAAGAGGGGGCCCTGCAGGGGTACTCTGAGGGGCGGCCGAGTTGGAATTTGATGTGCTGCTGATGCAGGCTGCAGGAAAGGGCCCTGCAGGGGTACTGCGAGTGGCAGCAGATGAATTGGAATCTGTTGAATAGGGGCTGCCTGCTTAACTCTTCGCCACTCAGGGAAAGGGGAGGGTGGCTGCAACCTGCTACCTAAGCTGATCCCATTGCTGCTGGGATCGCTGCTGTTCCTTGGGGCCATAGTGGTCCCAAACCAGTTGGTGCAACTGGTGCTGGCACCCACTGGCATTGGACCCACCTCTGACCAGGATAGAATCCCCATCCTGGGGGAATACTCTCCACAGGGAGTAACTTCACTGCTGGCTGGAGGGGGAGGAATTGGGGTTTGTAATGTACCAAATGTCGGCTGCATCTGCTGTCCCTCCCTTGCTGCTTGGCCCTGCCGTGCTAAGCTTATTCTTCGGCCACCTCTAACTGACGCCACGCTGGTTTCAATGTCAAGTCTTGAATTAGGGAAAGTGAATGTGAGCTGAGTTAAGGCCCAGCTCAGCTGAAGAGGTTGTGGCTGTAAGACATAACTTCCCACTAAGTTGCTGAAATTGCTGTGGGAGGTCTGCCAACGACTGGCTACGGGACGGAGGCAACAGGTTCCAGTCTTGGGAGTTGTCAGATTCACGCCTCTCTACTCTGGCTTGTGGCCCAAGCTCACAGGGCTGGAGTAGGAAAGGTGTTCAGGCAGCTTCTCCTCCAGTCCCATCTCTGGATTCAGCTTAGTCTGGCAGCTTTTCCAGGAATCCGATTCCTTGGGTTGAGTGCCTAGCCTCTGTCTTTCCTCTGCAGCTTCCATTGCTTGCACAAATTCTGCAGAAGGAGGACATGGGGTCTCAATTAGTTCTCCAGTATCCATTCCCACCGCTCCTTCTATAGATTCCTCCTTTTCTTCCATCTTTGCTGAGTCTTTTCGCTGCTTCAGTTTGGGGTCAGTGTTGGGGCTCAGCACCCCAGACAGCCCCCTTTCGGGGTGCTGGTAGTTATTTAGAGATTCATGATAATGTCAGCATTCCAGCAAACCTCTACTCCACCCAATAACTCTGAGACAGTAATCTTCTCAAAGGTTCCTTTTTATTTGGATAGTAACTGGCATAACTGAGGAATCCGGAATCTGAAAGTTCCAGGCTTTCTTGCAATAAGTAAAAACTACAAATCCATCCCCTGCACCCATCATCACATCACATGGCCCAATCACCATCCATCCCAACTTAAGACTTCCCCTCACTTATGCACAAAATAACATGACCTTGAATTGGAAAAAGCATGCTTGTTAGGGTTTGGGAATTAACCTCTAGAAGAGTATTGCAGCAGTAGT